CCACATGTACAGTAATGAGCAGCTATTAGACATTAGACATCTTTATCTGTCTATTTTGGTATTTTGTCCACAGACAGTTTAGCGTCAGTGTGGATATACACAACCCCAATTCATAAGAAGATATGTTGTATAAAATGTAAATACGAACACAACACAGTTATTTGCAAATCTCATAACCCCGTATTGTAGTCACAACAGAACAGAGAAGACAAAATAAATACGATTTTACTATTTCATGAATAAAATATGTTCATTTTGAGTATAGCTTCAGCATGTCTCAAAAGTTTGGGAAGGGGCACCAAAAGGCTGGAAAAGTAGTACTAAATAGGCTGGACTAGATTTTATTATTAGGTCTTATAGTTGATCCAAAATGCTGCATCTATAAAAACAGCATGGCCTTATAGCAGGAGAGGATTAGAAACAGAGAGCAGATTTCTCCTATATCGACTTCGCTTCATTGGCTCCTGCTTTAATCCAGAAGGGAATTTAAAATCCTGCTCCTCACATCTGAATCTGGTCTTGAATAATCAGGCACCATCTTATTGTAATGACCTCGCAGGACCGTATCACCCGTTAGATCATCAGACTGCAGGCTCAGGATCAGGTGACACTGAATACTCGCTTACCCTGCGTTAAGTCTGGGCTTGTGGTTCCCACGAGTCCCACGATGCATCGAGTCCTATGTGTTTATAAACCATCTGCATTCACGTGTTAGTCATTATTAACTAACTGGCTCTCTTCCACAGTATGTCTTTGTCTTTTATCCAGATTGCTGCCCCTCCCTTAGCCTGGTTCTGCTGGAGGTTTCTTCCAGGTCAATGGGAGAGCCCACTGTTGCCTAAGCGTTTGCTCAGGGGATCATGATTGTTGGAGATTTCTCTGTTTTCTTTGTTGTAATGTAGGGTCTTTACCTTGCAATAAAAAAAGTTTGCTTAAAAAAGTGCCTTGACCCAACTCTTGATGTGATTTGGTTCTGCATAGGGCTGCCACAAACGATTATTTTGATAGTCGACTAGTCACCCTGCTGACTTTTGCTCAACCGGGTGAAAGGACGTTCTCTCTCAAGATGAACACAGGAAAACACACCCAACGCCTCCGAACGCTTACACCCACCCGACGTATGCAGGCGGATGTAAGATGTGAAGATTTCTGTGCTTTCTGTGCTGAGGTGTCTTTTTCTGTTCTCGACTGCTCTCCCCTAGGAGCTCAGTCTGGGAGGAGTTTTTTTCTCCTCCTCTTTTCTCGTGTAATGTGTATTTGCATTGTTTTTTCGTACCTCTCTGTCTTCCCAACGATATGTTTGTTTATTCTACGTATGGTCGGAAGGGGTGCTCATGATGGAACCGTATTCTCTGGCAGCCTTTAAAACAATTTCCCTCGAGATATCAATCAGTCAATCAATTACCACACAGACAAGGGTCCTCGATCATGCTCTCTGCAACATCTGGACATAGCCAGTGGCTGTTTTACGGCCCCCACATAGAAAACACCTCAGGTGGGATCTGTTTGTCATGCTGGTAACGTTGGAAACCATCAGGACCATCAAGTTGCATTTCATCTCATCAGAGAATAAAACTTTCTTCCACCTTTCACTGTCCCATGTTTGGTGCTCTCTTGCAAAGTCCAATCGGTCAGTCTTGTGGCGTTCAAGGAGACGCGGCCTTTGAAGACATTTTTTTAAGCTCTTCAGTCTCAGATGCCGTCTGATGGTTATGGGGCTGCAGTCGGTACAGGTAACAG